CTACTGTACTGGGATAGTTATGATATGGTATGAATCGATTTTGGTTTCCACTGACACCCTGCAGCTTACTGGTCAGTTTTCTGGAGACCTACTGCACCGGTTGACATTTTCATTACGAATAACATTTCAATGACAGTTAGAAACCAGCTGTTAGTTAAACCACCATTAAAACGACTAAAACTCGCCCGTCGTCTGCTAGACTTTTTGAAAATTTAAACTTAATTTCTAAAAAACTAAAACCCTAAACTAAAATTATGGCTTCGACATTCCTTAGTTCTCAAAATGATCTTTCGTTCAACACAAAAATCATGAAAATCCGTCAAGTGGTTGATTCAGAATCGTGAAATAAAAAAACCCTGTCACGTTTTAATATATAGGATACTCATAAGGTTAACATGGGGAACAACAGAGCCACTGGGGCAGAGCCCGAAAGGATTTTTAAGAAAAGAATATGCCTATATGTTAATCGGGAATGTGAGCTATCATCATGCCAAATTTCAGCCCAATCCGCCCAGTAGTTTATGCGTGATTGAACTTCAAACAAATAAACAAACAAACAAACACACAAACTTTCACATTTATAATATTAGTAAGATTTCCAAAAGACTTTAGATTTCATTAAAACAATAATGTTATAAAATACTGCCTGAAATAGATAATAAAACTAATTAAAAAAAAAAAAAACACATGATCATACTAAAGTATTTGCGAAATTTTTTAACAATATTATTCAAGGTTTTCTGATCTTAATTCATTTAAAACCATTGTAAATAAAACTCATATTATTTTCACAGAAAAAAATATGACAATAAAAATATCAGCTTTTGAAAAAGCACACCAATAGAAATAGTTTGCAAAATTTCTGACTCAAATTATTCTATCAATCAGTGTGTATCTACGTCGACGGCGTTAAAATTAAAAGCTATGTCAATATAGGGAAAATCGTTGATGCGATTATTTTTTTAATTGTGCGAGCAAACGTAGCTCATATGCAATTAAGGATGATATATTGTATAGGATAATTCGTCTGCTATAGTAAACAAAATATTTTCTTCGTAAAGATTACATTGTCACTTTAAAAAGCTGTTGGGAAAAGTCCGAAGACTACAGAGATTGGTGTAAGAGGGTTTTATGACACTATTACTACATTAAGTATCCCTGCCGACTGCCGTAGCAAACCTGCAGACTAATTTTCATTTGCCTGATTGTATTTTCACTAAAACATTGCCTTCAAAGGCCATATTTATTCTCTATTTAAATAAAGTAGGTCTAACTATTTCTTAGGTTTTCTGCCACAGGATGGGTAATAATGATTGTTTTTTCCTATCTAACGACTTAAGTTCAAAAGATCAAATAATAATACTGAAAGCTGAAAAATCACGATTTTTAGCTGTACATGCCAGGCAAAATTAAGATCACCCTTACACCTTGGTCACAGTTTGCTTACCCTTAAGAAGAAGTAAAAATCTTAATTTTTCAGCTTTTTTTCTAGTAATTTGCATTTTAGGACTATAAAAATAATTTTAGATGATTCATATAATCAAATTTTAAAACAGCCTTTAGCTATGTTGAGAAATAAATGTTTGTGTGTGATTAATAAAATGGATTAAATTTACTAATGTAGGAAATTTGTAGCTAGTCTTTAAGTAGACATGAAACCACAAAATATATTTTATGTACTCTCTTAAAATAAAAATACATATTGATTTAACTGTCGAAAAAAGAATGGTGTTCCTCAAGCATGATCTAAACTTATAGATAAGGGCAAATGGTATTCATATTAATTAAAAATGTTGTATATCAGAACAATTTAGTTTATTGAAAAAGCCAATCCGTTGCAGGGTAGTCCGGGGTTTATTCTCGTAGCATCGTGTTGTCCGTGTACAAGTCGTGTCCGTGTACAGAAGCCGAGACGTGTCCGTGTTGTACTAGCTCTCCATCATCTGGAACAGTTCAAGTTATTGTTTAATATACGTATGTAAAAGAAAATTCCCTCTGATGTAGCGATTTAAATTTGTTCATTAAATTTAACACAGCTTAGATTCTATAAAAACATTTATTGGAGGCTCCGGGGACGGCATAGTACGAGTACATTGATGTATTGAATGCATATGCATATAATAGATCGCCTGCAGTATTTCAAACTGTCAAAGTTCAAATGAGATATAGTCAATCTTGAACTCAAAGTTACAAGAGTTTTAAGGCTTTTATAGGTATTAATAGTTTAATCACAATTATAAACTTTTCACTTTTTACAAATAGAACTATAGAAGATGAGAAGGAAACCCCAATAATATACTATAATGTGTAAAACTTAAACTGTCTGCATACACTATACACGTTGTTGGCTTTAAATTGTTAATGAGTTACCAAAATAGTTGACAAGATCGTTTACCTAGCGTATACTAAAGTGCAAGAAGGATTCTATTTGAAGTTCATTAGCAAGAAAATGTGTTTTTTTACTATTAAAATTCCTTTATTATTATTATTATTATTATTATTATCTATACTATTGTTAAAAATGCCAAGTACGAATCTTAACACCAATAGTGATCAACAATTACTAAAAATTCAGTTTTAAATATTGGTATCATATTACATATACTACGCATTTCAGTCTGAAACTAAAACCTAAATAGCTACAATCTATTCTATTTTTAGAGTGAGCCGTTATGTCTTTCAACCACGCAAAGCCAACTAAACAATTTAACCTAATAATGTCTACTGCTGTACTAAGGAATGTTATAGGTATAGTATAGTTATTGTATTTTGTCTTTGAACAAAGCCCTCGACTAGACTTATATTTCTTGGCTTTAACTGCAATTATAAGAAACCCCACAATGTTTTTGACGATTTTTATAGTGTCTTTTTTAAGTTGCTACATGTTGAATGGAACCCATTAAAAATAAAGTTTAATTTTGTAAATACGTTTAGGTTTGGTTGGTGGTGCTATTAAATGATGAAATCACGTTGATAATTAAAGTCAAATATGCTGTCTCTTTGGTACAGTATATTTAAAAGAGCCTTTATTTATTCTGGATTCATGCCCCTTAGAACTTCACTGGCCAATCAGATCATCATCTATTCCAATTAACAACTATTTTAATAGTTTTTGATTGTGTAACAGAACTAATATTGTACTTGGAATAAATATTGTGTTTCAATTTTAAACGGTAGTCTTAGGCTGTAACTATGTTGTTTAAGTTTTTTTTTTAATTTCAATAGACGATTATAACGTTAATATTTGCATCTGACTGCAAAGTTGTTTAAATATGTTACAGAAAATATTCTCAACTGCGTAATAGTAATTTATTTTGCATATATATGATACATCTAGATGAACATTTATTTTATGCATTTACATTACAGTTGAAGAGTAAATTCTTACCTGATGTGAGAGTCTAGTAGTAGCCGACGACGGTCATGTTGACGTTGGTCCTCTCCTTGCCCATGATAATAGTAGTCTGATGTTTCGTTGAAGGAAATATCTGATACAGTGACAGTCAGCTGAGCCTTATATACCCACACTGGCGTCTCTACTGACCAATCAGAGCGCTGCGTTGATATGAGCTGATATCTTAAAACTTTGTCCACTATGGCTTAGCGTGTGCTCGACTCGATAAATATTTGAAAAAATTTGGTAAAAATAAAACACATACATTATTTATTAATGTAGACGTGACCGGTTTTAATAAATTGTAAGAGGTTAATGTACTTAGGTTTATGAATTAACGTAGCAGAAGATAATACAAATTATAATCAGCATTGTTTACGTATTTTTGCTGTAAGATTAATTTAGGTTGATTTTTAATGCATTACAAATCAATATTATTTGTTTATTATATTCGTATTTTAGATGATTAATATATATCTGCGTACCAATACACACTTTATGTTTTTTCCTAAGCCTTTTTAAAACTCGCGTTTAAGCTCGAGATTTTAGTTTTTCTCTATGATTGAGTGTAGGCTTGACCATTAGCTTGAGTTTTAAGCTTAGTTATTAGATTTAGGACGAGATTTTTTGCGAGGGTGGTGTTCCTTATCACCTATGCTATCTTTTTGAAGAATTTAAAATCTGCTGACAATCCATATGTTTTTGCGTAAAATATAGTGAAATGTCATATTTCATTGGAATATATAAATGTTTAAGTGCTTTAATGCTTAGATACATTTTAAATTTATAACTTTTTTTGTCATGTTTCACAGCTAAGAAAAAACGTTTGATAAGAAATAATTTTGGTTTTCATTGACAGCTTTGTTTAATTAATTTAAACTTTGATTTCTACAAGAGGTTTGTTGGATTAGAAACAACATACATGCACAGAACATGTATATATCGTTACATTTCAATACGGATACAAATTAATACTTTATATTTTGTAAGTTAAAAAAAGGTTTCAACAAATCATAAACTTATTTTTTATCCATTACCATTGACTATTGGATACTGAAGTAGACTTTCTATCTATATGGACAAGCTCTAGCCAATTTTTTATAAAAAACGAACGTAGTTGTGGGGGTCAGTCACAGAATGCGCTAGTGTCTTAAATTCTATTTTATTCCTTATTTTTTGTTGCTGTCCAGGTTGGTGGATCAAAAGCAGTTGCTATAACTCATCATGATTCATTCCCTAAGTTTGACTTGGTAAAAAGCAACCAAACTTATTTAGTTATTTTAGGTTTTATGTTTTAGTTTATTTAGCTATTTTAGTGTGTTATTATAATCTGTTTCTGTTTGTGTATTTGACAGAATTTTGTAATTTAGATCTGTACAATCTGTATGTGGCTCACATCGACCGCGACGATTTTGACAAAAAATCTGGCTACAAATTTAACATGGGGATGGAATGTCTAGTTGTATTTATAGTCTAAGCTACCTGCTAAAACTGAAGCTTTAGAATCAAATATTGCATGATGTCATGATCTATGTTACCTCGCACAATAGAGTGGCATTTCCTCGTCAGCTGATAAGATGTTTCAACGTTCTAACTGATAAGGGAAGTCAGCCATTCGAGAAGGTGTAACGATGTTAATATACCATGTTATTGTTAGCGAATTTATTAACTTTATGCTTTATACTTCCCATTCTGGTAAGTAAAGATGATTCTATTGTTGCTTTGAAACATATTAATAGTGCTTGAACTTTTTTCTTTCTGAACATTGTCCTAATTGTATACATGTTGATTTGTTGTTTAAGGCTACATGGAGTTCTGTTTACCACATATATCGGCTACGTGGATGGTCCGGTTAATGGCCTTCGGAAGACCTTACGTTTTTAGTGAACACCACTACACAATATTTCCCTTTGACGAAATCAGCATAAATATATAACATTTGGGGAATGTCAGTTTACTCTCTGTGCATTTCGATTGTATTTGAGAAACATAATCTTACCCACCTAGCATTTCAAACAGTGTACTCATTTACATCAACCAGTGACAATTAAGTCCAAGTATACTTACATAGGGTTTAACTTTTTTAACCCGTACAGTGTATAGTTTTATTCTATGGACACTTAGTCATTCTGTTATATTATTTTAGTCAACTCAGACCATTCACCAAAAATAAAAGAGATATAATTTTGTTTTAAAGCCAACCAAGGTATTAACAAATTTGGCTGCAATTGTATAAACAAGTTACAATACACTTTTGGAGCAAGTCAAGCCCAAAATTATATATTTTCTAGTCATAGCTATTTTATGATAATTATATTTAAAGTATCTTTCCGTTGGTCCTTATGCGTTTAGTTTTGTTACGTTGGCATTTTTTAAACGATAATCATCTTTACTTCTTAACAGTGTTATCTAAACATATACAATTCAAAGTAATCACTTACTCACTCACTGGTTCATTCATCACTAATCCTACTTCCCGACTAACTTGAAGGCCTAAGTGTCCAGGCAACAAGTAATCAAAAAAGGAATAGAGAGAAATTTTAGAACACAATTTCTAGCTTCATAACACTTGGTGTAGTTAAGAGGTGACCACATCAAAGTCCCCACCTGTAGCCTTTTAGCATTGACTATATACCTCTACATTGTAGAATGTAGAGGTGTATAGTCAATGCTTTTAGTCTTGGGGGAAGGGGGCTTTAAGGTAACTTTTTTCGTTTTCCTTTGCTTGAAAATCGAAAGCTATGCGTCCTAACAAAATGACTGTCCTATACCAATAGCAAGTTTATCACATTTTTGTTCTTTAACATTTTTGATGTCGTGTATGGTTTTGCATTATTCACTATAAAAAAATTGTATATTTAAGAAGCACTGATACGTTAAAAATGCAACGATAAGAGTAATTTATATTTAATGGTTCCTATTGCGATGATGGTCCCCAAATATTTAAGCTATATTTCGTTTATGATGAAATTATGAAAAGAAAATACCCTAGAGAATAATGAGCAAAACAGCTAGTAGACTACTATATGGATACTTTAATGTACATTCGATTATAAATAAATATATAAGTTGTTATTGTTAACACCGAATACCCTGCAAACATCATATCGAAGAAGTCAGCTTATTGTTTAAGATGGTGGCGCACACAAAACAAACACATGTGCATGCTGGCAATTGTTAGAATGAATAAGTAAACATGATAAAGTGGTGCTACGTCATAAAGTAGTTATCGTATGTTGGCTGTAGACTACACTAAACATCCAATGTAATTTCTAGACAACAAATTAACCTTTTTCTTCTGTGTATCTTATTTTAAAAAGAGTAATCATTCGATTCTCTATTTTCTAACTACTTTCTCATTATCATAGTCTACGGTTTACAGATTTCACCTGCACTGTTTTACATAAACCTAATCAAACATAACTGTAAACGTTCCATTATTTTAATCCTGTTCATTAGATGCGCAACAAACTGCAGCACGAGTCTAGATGTACGTGATTCAACCAAGGATGTGTTAAGCAATCTTGAATGAACTGTATAATATTATCATTAGAAATAGTAGGGTTGCTGACAATGTACAAGCTTAGGGTATTACCTATATGTAATTGTTTGTTTGAAATAGAATTATGAGTTTAGCACACACTCTAAGCTGAGTTCAATTTGGTAAATCTGTTATCAATAATCAATAGGGTGTGATCATCACTTAATATGGTGATGTTTACGTGGAGAGCCTAGTGTCTTTGACTATTAATACAACAACTATAGTTCGGCCGCTTAGAAAACGACCAGCGCGCTAATGCTAAACCAATGCTAGAGGAGGTCGCTTTCTAAGCGGCCGAACTAGACATTCCATCCCCATGTTAAAGTTGTAGCCAGGTTTTTAATAAAATTTGTCTTAGTTGATGTGAGCCACCTACAGATTGCGCTGATCTGAATTACTGATTTCTGCCGATTACATGATGGTTTTTAACAAGTCAAACTGATGGAATGACTTATTATGAGCTATAGCAACTGTTGTGACCCAGCAACTATGTCAGTAACAAAAAATAAGGCTTTAGACACTAGCGCAATCTGTGACTGGCTCACACAAGTCCAGTGTAGAGCTGCTGCTGAAAATCATTATCAGGATTAGCTTGAGTCTGAGTTACAAAGAATATTTAGCTTGATCTGTTTTTGCAGGTTCCCGGTGCCGAAGCTGACGAGGTCGGCGGTGGCTTTGGGGACGACTACGTGGAGGGGTTAGTGCCTAGTGTAGAACTGCTACTGGAAGGCATAGTAACATCCCTGCTAGGCACTCCTCTGTCTCTTCTCACATCCCTGGTCAGCGGTGATGGCAACGTACCTTCACTCTTAGACCTCGTAAAAAGTATAATTTCGGGCATCATCGAGTCTCTGTCCAACAGTCTTTATGGTATCACTGACACTTTGTCCGAACCTCTAGAACTCTAGGGGGATACTAAAATGCAACTCCTATTGATCAAACTGGGGGGATTACTAATAAATGTGTGAAGTTATTGTAAATACTCTTAGTCTTAGTTATATTTGTTGGATTGTATATAACTGCTTATCAGGTAACGTAGTGGTTAGTGATAATATATTTTGGAAAATCCGGACTTTATAGAATAAAAAGATATTACTCAAGAAAAATTGGATCAAATCTTTTTTAAGCTCCTTTACTAACAAGAATGTAAATAATAAGTTTTCTTATGATAATCAAATGCACGGCATTCGTCCAATGAATACATTATTTGAAGAATATCCTTTCTACAAAACGTATTGGCAAGAAAATTACTAATGATGAAAATTCTACTCAGTTTAAGTACTTATTAAGACAAGTTTAGAGATCTGTCCGACGACAGGAGGACAAGAGGTATGGTATTTATTTAAAGAACCAAGACTACTTACCCCTTGAGTGAGGAAAGCTTTCAAACGTCTGAAAAAAAATTTAGTTATGATATAATAATATTAATATCGTGTATAAAATATCAACAATTAATTATTACCAGAGGTCGTCCCGTGGTCGAAAACTCGACCAAAAATATGTTATTTACAGTCTTCTTTATTTTCACGCCACACTGAAAATAAAACATGTGATTGGAATTTCTTACATTTGTTTTGATATTCTGTTTATGATTCGTTGTTATTTCGTCACCAGCATGGCAACCCATAAAACCCATGTTAAATTTTTAAAATTTCAAATTCATTTTTTGTGCTTATTTTTTAGCCTATTTGAATTTTAAAAGGGATTCTGCACACCAACAGGAAAATATCTCTCTAACAGTATTAGTAGATTTTGCATGCGATGCACACGAGCTGAGAAAAAAGGTTTTAAAGAAACATGCTTGCCTATTAATATATAGATGATAATTGTATATAATAACAACTATCATGGAACAATTATTTTTTTTATTCACACCAAATTGTGTACGACCTTCCTAATTTTAGTTCAAATATATGTTACAATGTATACCAATCTCTTCGTACAATTTCTTGCCATTATTTCTTACAATTTCTTTACTTACAAATAAAATGTTAAAGGTTTACGTTTCCAAATTACGAAGTCACTAAACCTAATTTAATTCTTTCAGGAGGTTTTAAAAGTTATTAGAACTATCGGGTTGATATGCACGAATTTCTATCAACGAAATTTGGTGTAATAATGTTCTTCATTAGATAAAGGCCCAATAGGCAGGACTTGTGTACACTATAACTATAACTATAACTATGACAACTCGAATCAATGTAAAAGCCCTAAAAGTAGCACAACCGAGGCATATCTTTGAATAAGACAGTAGACGTTAGATAAAGATCTATCTCTACTCGTGCTTCAAGCTATTTGAAATTTTAACTGATTTTATGGAAATAATTATTTCCATAGATTTTTATGGGCAACATCGACAAAAACCAAACTCGAACTCTAAAAATAATACCCATTTAAATATATTTTTAGAATTTTTCAAAGGGAAAATCAGTGGTCAATATTTATACTATTTTGTGTCCTACATAGTTTATTTTACAGTAGTAACTGTGATTTTAAGTTGAGTAGCGTCAGTTCCTAATACTTATTTAATAAGAAGGGTTGGTTTTGTTTATATAGAGTGGTTGTTAGAATGAATACAAAAATAGTTTAATTTTTTGTTGTAATGTTTCCGGACTACAATTGATTTGGATAAATAAACAGGTTAAAATACCTGATTGTTGCCTTGTGGTAGTTAGAGTTCTTATACCAGAAATGCGCATAATCAAGTAGGACAAACCTTGGACTATAAGGCGAGAATCATGTATTTTAACCTTTTTATTTATTGATTAAGATTGTGTAAGGAATTGTTACCTGTGACTGTTATAGTCAACTAGAAATATTTACAAGATGTATGTTTTATTTATAAAAACAATACAATTTGCTAGGATATTTATGGGATTTATCTAGTGATAAGAGTCAGACGATGTTCCAAAGTAGCGTTGGTTAAAGGTCGAAGGCTATCTACTAATTGTAGTGTTAATGATTTTGTAGCTTGTTTAAAATAAGTCAAATCTATAAATAATTCTGTCCAACCAAAATAGTTTTTTTTTCTACCGTAGAGTAATACTTATGTAATGCTTACTTACTTTTATTGTCGACAAGTGAATTTTTCTAAGTAAACTGTAATATGATCAAGCCGAATTACGGTTTACTTCGACGTTCTTTAAAACAAACCTGTATTATTACTACAAAACTTTCATATCAATTACTGTAAAATTCAGAAGAGAAGAATAATGACTTTAACTAAGTTAAAATAAGTATAAAAGAGCTTAAATAAATAATATGTTATGTTATAGCATTATAATATAATTGAATTAAATAAAAACTAGGTGAAACCTGTTGAAATCGACGGTTACTTTCAAGGCTTACTTAATTCATCCAACTGCGACAAATAGAGTGAAATTGTCAAATTTAACATTTAGCTTTGTTTACTGAGAAATAAATAAGCGTACAAATAATAATGACTATTACGCAAGATACAAAATATGGTTTCATTATTAAATGAATAAAATATTTCCACTACGTCATCGGAGTTATTATTACTACTGTATGTTAACTGGTTTCATCTCCTTGTTGAAGAACATGTAGATAGTATTAAAATCATGTCGATGGATATTTTGTGGTAAACACTTCCGCGATTTCATCAGTGCAAGGCCGATTAAATCTACGTTTTTATTTAAGAACAGAATTTCAAGGCTTTTAAATTTTAGTTTTTGATTTTTTCAATATAGATTTGCCATCTCTCAATGCATTATAGTTTATAAAAATCCTTATATCATTAAACGAATCACTGAAACAAACTTAATTTATATTAAATATAAATTAATAATACTCATATTTAATATGACAAAAATTAGGTTTGATGTTTCTGTTTTGTTTCAAGATGTATTTTAAATATAATAAAAAGATTCCAAATGTATATAATCAAGCTACATTACCAGTAAAGGCACTTTTGCTCTATACTATAATAGTATAAGTGCTATTTTAAAATCACAAACTGGTAGTTAATAGAAGATTCAATGAATTTATTTTTATTGGTGTTTGTTAGCCAACAGATCAGGCTAGTACATCAGTATATAAGGTGGTAGTGTGATCTATTATAGTTAATTGAAAAAAAAAACTCTTTAAAAGTAAAAATATACATTTTTTTGTATAGTTTAAATATTACTAACCAGATACAAGATATAACCTCAGTATTCATATTATACCTAGGATTATATTGTCTACGCACCTATTGCTTGAACAAATTAATTAACGCGTAAATAGGATTAAAATTAAATGTTATGTAGTAATAATTTGTAACGAAATTAGCTATGTATAATTTACATAATGCAATTAATATAGAATTTATAAATTAAATCCTATATTAACTCCCGCCAAAGCAAACCAGCAGACTAAGCGAATTTCCATTTGCCTGATTGGATTTACACTAAAATGTCTTGTTAAATATATAACATTTATTCCCTATTTAAATAGAAATAGATTAAAGAGTTCTTAGGTTTGCTACAACAGGAAGGGTAAAAGTATCTTTTTAATGTTAATAGTTTAGTTAGAAACAAATGCATTTTCCAAATTTTTATCAAATATGTTCATAAACGAGCAGACTACAACGGTAAACGTATTCTCCATTAGAATAGCATGGGTGTTTTAAATTTCCAACTTTTTGGAATTTTCTCCGTAACAATTAGGCGCATAATACGCTTCAATATAGTAAATTATTTGTTTCTTTAAGTTTTAAGTGGTTTGGAAAGAAAATGCGAAATCTTATGTTTTTTTGGTCTAAAATGGGAAAAGTATTTTTACCCCATAACACCCCCCTTCCCATAGTCCGATTATGCTGATTCGCGAACTCGTTCGAATAAATGTAGATTCACAAGTTTGTACCAAATTTCATCAAAATTGTATCACTTTTGTTAGGGTTATCGTGCTATCGGACACACACAAACATATATGAATTTGAACGGATGGTGTTTGAGGCCTCTAGGGACCTCAAAATGAAAAAGCAAATCGGTCCCGGGTCCAGGTCTTACCATGAGTACTGCAGTAATAGCTTATTCCCTAAATGGGAAATTCGCTAAAAGGAATAGGTATATTTTTAGTATGTTTCGGTCGATGAAAATTACAAAATCTGCAAAAATCTCAAATTTTGAAATAACTATGATCGGAAATCCTCATACAAAATAAATCGCGTGCTATTTACTCTGACAAACAGTCTTACTTACTTTATTAAATCATTTAGATCATAATAATATTATTGTTACCCCTCTACTGAGTAAAATACGCTGTTAACAAGCAAAGAGCCAAAAATTGGTATTATTATATCTAAAGGATTTGTTTTACCATAGACAAAATGAATAAAAATATAGACTGTCAGCCGTGCTGCGGTTACTATGGTTACCATAGGTTCTGGCGCGCACTGCTGGGAGTGCCGTGTAGTTCCGTAGCGCATACGTCGTAACTACATGGCACTCCCAGCGGTGTAAGCCAAAACCTATAGTAACCACAGCACAGCTGACGGTCTGTATTTAATTCTTTTTGTCTATGGTTTTTCTGATGGAGAAAACCTGAGTAAGTGTTGGATGCCTTGAGGTTCCTATAATTTGCTTAGCACCATGAAAAACATTTATATATTTAAGAACTACTAGGCTCATTAAAGTGGTTCAGTCCATTTTAGAGTAAAATTAATTGTTATTTGTATTTTATATAAAACGTCTGTGTTTTGCATGCATTTGTACATGGTCATACATACGTTGGTCTTTTTAGTCAGTTGTTTTTATGGAAATGATCAGCAATGAATAGGAAATATGTGACAAGAAAAAAATATATATTATGTTGACAACAAATTGTATTTATTTACTTATAATTATTTATATAAAAACGCCAATCAGGTGTAGGGTAGTCCGGGGGTTATTCTCGTAGCATTGTGTTGTCCGTGTCCAAGTCGTGTCCGTGTACAGAAGCCGAGACGTGTCCGTGTTGCACTAGCCCTCCATCATCTGAAAAGGTTTGTACGAAAAAAATATTTCAATCTCGAAAGTAAATCAGTTTATAATGCCTAAAAGATAAGAAAATGCTGGCCACTTAGTTAGAATAACTAGTCAGTAACAAAGCTACACAGGTCATCACA